CTATATATTATAAAAATTTACTATATATTAACGTAACCTAAAAATGTATTATATGTTAACTAAGTTATATTAACAACGTTATTACGATATATCAAATAATAAGAATTTTAAATCGTGCAATATAAAAAGATTAATTTATACAATTTATTTTACATAATAATAATAGTATAAGAATCTCTTGCTTGATAAAATAATTTTTTAATGGCTTGTTATTCTCCAAAAATTTTTGATATATACAAAAAATTCTCGAAAAATATAATGATTTTTAATAAAGAATTCGAGACATTATATTATGATACGCTATTATTACCGATTTTATGGTTAATAGATTTTCACTAGAACAACATAAAAATTTACATTATTAATCATTCACAAAGGGTGACAGCTTCCTAGTAGACATCACAATTATCAACTTCGTGGAATAATTATCGCAAACCACGAGCCTGAACGGATATGCGACGCCAGGAATGGGAGGCGAATTGTTCCTTTCGTCGCGTCAATGTAACACTACCGCGCAACTGTTTGGACGTTTCGCGAAATAACGTCGAAGGCTGGGGGGACGAAGAGACGCGGGGTATGGGGTGCGTAAATTACGAGGAGCTTGTTCGTGCCGGCAATAAATCATACGCGAGGCTGACAGGATCCCAGTCGCGACATCGTTGCATATAACCCGTCGATTTAAAGTGTGTACGTGCATGTTGCGAGTATTTTAGAATTTGAATTCAGAAATGCATCGTAGGATACAGGGAAAATGAGGGCGAGTTTTGCTGGTCAATTAATTTCATATTCTTTCAATATTCTGCATTCGACATATACATTGAAAGCATGACTTTACCCGTCCACTTGGATCATAAAATCTGGAAGAAATCAGTCAATCATCTTATTATTTGTTTAATAGTTTTGAGTTATAATAATTCGAATAAATTAATATATATCCAGATTGAAATGTTATACAGAATTTTCAAAATCATCAATATATTTTATACATAATGGCAGGTATCAAAGATGCAATAAAAGTAATTGTTATAACGAGATATTAATGGTTACATTTGTCAGTGGTTAAAAATCGAAAACAATAATAATAAATATAATTGGAACAAATAAATAACAA